TAATAATAATAATAATAATAATAATAATAATAATAATAATAATTAGGGGTGTAAACCTACACTGGTCTCACGGTTCGGTTCGATTACTATTATCATGTCATCGATTCAGTTCAATTCGATATGTGACCCTGGACCACAAAACCAGTCATAAGGGTCAATTTTTTGAAACTGAGAGTGTGTGTGTGTGTGTGTGTGTGTGTGTGAGAGAGAGAGAGAGAGAGCACAAGAGAGTGAATTATCAATCACAGAACGTCTGAACGCAATGTGGCATGTGAGTCTCATAATGTGCAGCTATGGGACTGTGTGTGTATTGGTCTCATCTCACCTCCTGTGACAGGAAAGGAATGAGCTGGGCACAAATCACATTCAGCCGTTTTGCAATCTCCGTCTGCAGAGATATGGAGAGCGAGAGGCATACAGAAGCAGAACGAAAGCAAAAATAGACTTCATTTAACACAAAATGTACATTTTTGAAATGTTAAATGACATTTTCCCACCCTAATTTGACAATTTTGATAATAATAATAATAATAATCCATAATAATAATAATATGCTGAATCTAATGTACAACAACTATTATTCTTAGTATTAGTAGTACTAATAGTAGTTATACATTTAGAATAATTAATACATTTTCTACTACTAATACTACTAAATAATAAAATAAACAAGTACTACTACTATTAGTACTACTACTAATAAATAAATGTTAGAATAAAATTATTCATAATAATAATAATTATTATTATTATTATAAACTAATGGATAACAACTACTACTACTACTAGCTATTAGGCTAGTAGTAGTGCTAATAGCAGATTCACATTCAGAATAATTATTATTAAACTTACTACTACTACTACTACTACTACTACTACTACTAATAATAATAATAATAATAATAATAATAATAATAATAATTAGGGGTATTAGGGGTAAATCGCCTTTAAAGTTGTCCAAATGAAGTTCTTAGCAATGCATATTACTAATCAAAAATTAAGTTGTTATATTTACAGTAGGAAATTTACTAAATATCTTTATGGAACATTATCTTTACTTAATGTCCTAATGATTTTTGGCATTAGGGCTGGGCAAAAAAATCGAATGCGATTTTCATACGCATCTAGTCAGTAAAGCAGTTTCTGGTGATTAGTAGTAAATCTCCAGCACGTTTTGAACACACAATTTTGTGTAGCTTGTCAGTGATCTACGGCTCGGTGTAGTAAATGCCGCTCCATCTGAAAGCACGTGCTGGAGATTTACTACTAATCACCAGAAGCGGCTTTACTGACGAGATGCGCATTAAAATCGCATTTGATTTTTTGCACAGCCCTATTTGGCATAAAAGAAAAATCAATAATTTTGACCCATACAAAGTATTTTTGGCTATTGCTACAAATATACTCCAACGACTTAAGACTGGTTTTGTGGTCCAGGGTCACATATCACGATGCATTGACGATGCACTGCTTACCAGGTTGTTCATAAAAGCCGAAATGTGCCCAGATGTCGGCTTTTAAAGTAGTTGGGAGGAGCATTTTTAATTACTCGCACTCGCGTCTCGCCTCCCTCTGCCATTGTATACTACCGCGACAAAGCACTTATGCAACAAATGACATCAGAAAAGCATCAGTACATTATAATCGTTTATGGTCTATTACTGAACCGATACCGAATCGTCCTCGTCTGCATCGCGATTCCGACACCCCTAATAATAATAATAATAATAATAATAATAATAATAAATACTATAATAATTTATTATTATTATTGTATTTAAATTAATTTTATTATTCTTATGCATTTAAACTAATATATAACTACTACTACTACTACTAATAAATTATTATTATTGCATCTAAGACAATGGATTACTACTACTAATAAAAATAAATAAATAAATAAATAAATAAATAAATGATAAACCTAATGACAAAAACAATAATAAAATAATAAATAACAATTAAAATATTATTACGTTTATTCATTAGTAGCAGTAATACTTATACATTAGTTCACATGCAGCGACAACTACAATTAAGGTATCAAAACATTGCGATGACAGACACTAAACCATCCACTCAGACAGGAAGACACTGTTTGACTTCTATATATTTTCTATTATATCAGTGTGACCAACCAAAATTGTGAATGTTTGTTGAGGGGTGAGTGAATCTGAAACTGCACATAACTTACAACCTTACGAACTTACTAACTTTCACAAACAAATCTACTGAATTTTTGGATGTCACAAACAGTGCACATTTTGCCTCGCAAAGCCAAAGAATGCCAAAGAGATTACCAAAAAAGGCCAATTAGAGCCATTTTTCATGCACAAAGCATCAGATGGCCCATAAACACTCCTTTGGGCACCAGGCTGAGACTACAGTTACAAGACAGTCACAACCGAAATGCTTCAGCAATAGTAAAAAATACAATCCTGTCCAACAAAACGTATCTATCACACAAGACGTCGCAAGGTGTGTAACCTGCTACCTCCGCTCACACAGCTAGTAAATATTTTAGCCCTCCACATCTGGTTCATGCTAATTGTTGCGCAGTGAGGAGAGGGGATGCCTGAAATATTCATGCCGAGCATCTGCTGCTCTGGTCCAGCCGAGAGGAGTGACGCCTCCCCCTGTGAGCAGGTCACTGGTCTTGCCCTTTGAGCTGCTGTGTCTTTTGAGGCAGTGCTGGGGGTTGCCATGCTAAGACTATTGTAATCATTTACCAACAACCCAAACAAGAGCTCCGCCGAGCTGAGGGCAACCCTCCTCACGACCGTTTCTTTTGCCAACATGTATAAACTAACATTGTTATTTCACAATTTGTTTTCTTAAAGGGATAGTTCACTCACAAATTACTGACTTTACTGTTGTACCAAACCCATATGACTATTTCTTCTGCAAAATACTAAAGATGATATTTTGATATTGCATGCAGTTACAATAAATTAGTTTTTGAGCTTCAAAAAGACACAAAAGCTCCATAAAAAAATAATGAAAATGATTCATATGACTCACGCACTGTTTTCAAAGCCATCTGAAGTCGTACAATAGATTTGTAAGATGAACAGACCAAAATTTAAGTGATTATTCACAGGAAATCTTGACATTAAGTTGTCTTTAGTGCATTCACCAAAGAAAGTCTCCAGATGAAACGTTTTTGATATTAACTAAAACTAATGTCATCATTAAAACGATTATCATCTAAATAATTTATGTTGCTTAAAATAAAGCTGAAATTAAACGAAATATAAATATAAGATGAAATACTTAAATTAGAAATGCTGCCCTGGCAATTAAATCGAAGTACTAAAACTGAAGTAATAAAATTACTATTATATATATATATATATATATATAACCTAATGAAAAAAGGCAGATAACAAAATTATTAAAATGTAAACTTAAATTAAAACCTAATTCAAAATATTAATAAATCCTACAATAGTAACTTTTAAAAAAACACTCAACACTGGAACAATACATTCTTTCAAAAAAGATCTGTTCAATGAATCCATTTAACCAGCTCCCAAAATGATTCGTTCACAAACCAGACTGATCTCAAGTTCTCAAGTTCAACTCACTGACTTCCCCAGTCATTTCAATTGAAAAAATTGTCCCAATTTGCCTGAATGCTCCCCATTTATAAATAAAGAATTAATCAATTGAATAAATAAATAATAACATAAAAAAGATAAAAACACAAAATTACTAAACTTTAACATTTAAAACAGAAAATTACTTATTCAAAGTATTAATAATAAAATAATAATAGTATGTCAATGATACAAAAATAATGCATCTGGCATGACTATTTTAATGATACTTTTCTGCATTTTTGCATTCTTTTTAAATTCATAAAAATGCCTGTAAAAGAGCGACCGTCACATTCTTCAAAATGTCTCTTTGTATTTCAATATATGATTGGGTGACTAAATGGTGACAGTACTTTAATTTTTGGGTCCACTATCCCTTAAAGTAAATTACTGGCTGTGCGAAGACCCCCGCCCCCACTCCCCTCCACATTTTCCCGAAATGAGGAATAGACCCCCACCCCCATCTCTTCTATATCCATCCATCACAGCCCTCCCCACAGGGAAACACAATGATTTCTTGTTAGAGCGGCAACTACAAAATGACATCTTCAGAGGAGAGAGTGGGGGAGAAGGGGAGGGCGAGAAGGAGGGAGCGAAGGAAGAGAAATCGGGAGAAAGAAAAAAAAGAAGCTAGTAGAAAGGCACTGTTAAGGAAATTACAGAGTGATGGGAGATGCAGAAAGACGAGGAGGGGGGAGTTACATTAGAGAAGGGAATTCGTGGAGCATGTTAAAAAAGAAGTGCAATTGAAACGGAGGGAGAGAACAGACGCTCCGAGAGCGCTGACCTAATTTAAACTGACCTGACATCTGCACGAGAGAGAGAGACTGAGCGAGGAAGGTCGGGAAATGCAGATGCAGTAGCAGACACAATTTATGAGGAAGGAGAGCGAGAAAGTCACAGCTAGCTACTTTTAGACAATCGCACACACTCATGTGTGTGTGTATGTGTGTGAGGGGAAAGGGGGAGTGTGTGCCGCAGACAAGTTATTTGTTGATCTAATTACTTTGTTTGCAGATTAATTTTAAAACAAGTGCCACAGGCCAGACCTAAGAGGATTTCAACTATATAAAACACACGCAAAAAAGGTCCCTGCATAATTGAATCTGAATTATGAACTCTACAAAAGATAAAAGGAATAATAAAACTCTCCAGCACAAATCACAACGTGATGCCGAACAAGCATCTTTACACCGACTCTTCACTGTCAGCCCACGTTAAAACCCACGAGTGTGTTTGCATGTACAGCAAATGACTAGGGATGGGCCACAATGGTCAACTAGTCATCCAACAACCAACTAGCAGTTTAGTGAGGCTGAAGCAACTTTCTTTTCTTCTATTTTGTTAGTGAAGAAGCTTTAATTAGCTAAAACTATCTTTGAAAGGTTGCATCTTATCCCATAGAAAGCATGCAATGCTCATTATAAAACACTAAAAAAAAAAAATTTTTTTTAAGTATTTGCAACGGCATGCAATGCAAAATTTCGATAATTTCTGTCCGTTCTCTAAATAGAATTACAAAAAAATGTAAGTATTTGCAACGGCATGCAATGCAAAATTTCGATAATTTCTGTCCGTTCTCTAAATAGAATTACATAGTTAAAAAGATCAAAAAGAGAAAATTCTGTCATCAAACTCATGCTCATGTCGTTCCAGTTTCTTTCTTCTGTTGAACACAAAAGATTATATTTTTTCACTGTGAATGTCAATGGCAACTACTGTTTGGTTACCAACATTCTTCAAAGTATCTTCTTTTGTGTTCAACAGTAGAATGAAACATACAGGTTTTGGAACGACATGAGCGTGAGCTTATGATGACAGAATTTTCATTTTTTGGGTGAACTATCCATTTTGTGCATCCCTACCAATGTCCTTACTACGTTTCTGGGCCATAAAACATTTCAGTTGCATTGCTGTCTATGCAGGGTCAGAAAGCTCTCGGATTTCATAAAAACTATCTTAATTCGTGTTCCGAAGATGAACGAACGTCTTACGGGTTTGGAACGACATGACAGTGAGTAATTAATGACAGAATTTTTATTTTTGTTTGAACTATTACTTTACCTTTTGACTTTTTGGCTTTATCATCATTGGTGTAAAATTGCTAAATCAAAAGATGTCAACAAAGGGAACCAGCAATCTTACCTGTTTGTGCATCTCTATGTTGAGGCCGTAAGACATTTCGTAGTACTGAAAAAGAAAAGGATATCATTAGACAAATACTAGGAAGCGTATTGGAGTTGGCTGTTTTAATGTTATTAGTATCATTATTTGTTTGGAAATCATTGGAAACCAAGTTACTCTGTAGAGGTGTGGTAACATTAGCGAAAATTGGCAGGCAAAAAAGATTTTCCTACTTTCAATAGTGTAGCGATGTATGACAAAAGTTACTTTCAAATCAAACAAGTTTCCACTTTCAATGTGGCGAATTCGTGTGACCAACTTGAACCTGTTGTGAAATCTGCATGGGGAAACTTTTACCCTCATCCGAAATTCCTGATTGTATGGATTCCTATTGAAATGGGTTGCAAAAATTGGCCGAACAATGGTAAATGTGATCACACCTTTAGAAAGGGCAGACCTTGCCACAAATGGTTGTTTAGCACTGATCTAAGTTTGTGCAGATGATTCTGTGCGAAATAGGTTAGAGAAGCTAGTCCTCATCCAGCACCAACATTTTGGTTTGTTCCTCACAAAAATGGCTTCATAAGACTTATATATAACACAAGTATTATGGTCTATTTTTTTGTCTTCTTGTTGTTCAAATGATTGGTCAAAAACTCCTACTTGTCTTTTCCAGTGGAGGAAATAAAAAGAATAAAGCGGTAAATAAACAACGTTCACTTTTTAGTAAACAATTGCTTTCAGCTAGCTGGATAAATTCTGGTATGGAGGAGTCAGTGTAATTTTATTAGACAAAGAGGATCAAGTAAAAAGGAAAGGAGAGGCAGATAGAAAAGTGTAAAAACAACAGAGACGGAGGGATAGAAAGACCCTGGCAATAAAAGAAGCCGGCCTGACAGCTGCCTGTTGTATTCACCAGTTCTGCCAAGAGCTCACGGTGTTGCTAGGCGACTCCCACACTAAAAAAATTATGAGCCAAGAAGAAGAAAAAAAAGGGAGAGAAAGAAAACGGACAGAGAAAAGGGGTTAAGCCGTCTGCCAAGAGCAAATGGCATGCCAGGCGCACATTGCTGCCATATCTGTGGGCACTGAGGCACATGGCAGTGGCTCTGAAAACTCATTCTCTGTGATGGATGAACTGCGTTTGAAGGACTTCTGATTGAGGGCTGAAGAAAGATGTCTGCCGTTTTGATGTGTGTCGAATCTGATCCAAAACTAAGTTGGTGTGTGTGTGTATGTGTGTGTGTTTGTCTTACCATGACATAATGTCTCTGTATTTCTGTCTTCTCTGTGGCCAGCTTTTCACACTCCAACTTCAGACTGCAGAAGAAACAGAAAGAGAGATATGTTTTGCTGGATTGGTTTAAAGAGATTCTGCTGGACTGTTTGGGTGTTCAGACATGCCGTATTAAGTTTTATTTATTTATGTTTTGAATATAAGATAAGTGTAGGTGAATTATTCAAAAGAGGCACTGATAATTTTATTAGACAGTCAATAACACTATAAAATATGTAGTTCATGCTGCCTTTGACTAACTGCAAAAACATGACGTAAGGACAGACATAAAACAGACAAATACCTAGACAAACATATATATAGACAGAGAGATGACAAAGAGAAAAATAGACAATTACAGACAAATAAAAAGACATCACAAAAAGACGCTGACAGAAACACAGACCAAGAGACAAGATAGACAAACATAAATAGATGTAAAGACAAAGATAATGAAGACAGCAAGTCAAAGACAAAAGTCAAAAACAGTAGACAATTATACAATATATAAGCACATTAGATTTATTAGACAAATAGAGACACATGCAGATAGATATAAAAACAAAGACAAAAGATATAGACACCGACAAGACATAGACAGACATAAAAAATATAGACAGGTTATAGACAGACAGACAAACAGAAAGATACAGAGCAGAAACAGATTGACAGATATTTACAGACATATAGAGACACAAATACAAGTTAGACAGATGTAAAGACAGAAAGTCAAAGACTGAAAGACACAATAGAACACAGAGACATATGATAGAAAAATGAATAGAAAAAAAACAACAAAGAGACAGATATAGACAGACATAATGAAGACAGAATGAGACAGATTGACAGACAGACACTATATACAGACACATAAGATTTACGAGACAAAATAGAGACATACAGATGATATGAGAGAGACATATGCAGAAAGACTCAAAAGACAGACAGAAAGATAAACAGGGACACAGATACATATAGAAAGACAAATACAAGTTAGGCAAAATCATAGAAAGACACAGACAGAGACACAAACCAGCAAGTACATAGACACATGCAAGATGTACAGATGTACAAAAAACAGACAAAGAGACAAAGACACAAAGTCAAAGACAGATGAATAGAAATAAATACTGAAATACAGATATTGATATATAGAAATAAATAAATATTGATATACAGATATTGATATATAGAAAGACAGACAGACAGATAGATAGATAGAACAGACAGACAGATATGATACACAGATAGATAGACAGACAAATAGATGCACAAAGACAAATTAGTTAGATGTAAAGACAGACAAACAAAGACAAAGACAGACAGATACCCCACACACCAACACTGTGCCCACTACAATCAAACAGCACACACTCTCTCATCTTTTGGCTGTATTTCAGCTCTTCACACACACTGACTTGTTTGCAGGCATCAGATTTATGCGAGCGCGCAGGAGGGCCTGGGAAAATTAGAATATGATTAATACCACAACATTACTGCGCTGCAACAGGTAATAACAGCACATCCGCTCTCCTTCACTGACTGCGCACAACCGTCGATAATTGACTCATTTATCACCGTGAGTGAGGAAGGGAAGAGCGCAAAGGATGATGTGGTATTAATGTCAAAGATTAGAAAAGATGTTCCCTTCTATAATTATTAGTGGTGTTATTTTTATAACCCAAGTCTTTTTGAAAATGCCTCATGAACTTAGAATGGTTAAATGGGTTTAGTCGACTAGAAGAGCAAAAATGTATAAATACAGGTGTAAAGCAAGTGCGAGAGGGCACTTCATGAGCATGACAAGAATTCTATAATATTTTGTCTAAATAAAACCACTTAAAAACCAAAATCAATCATTTTAAACGCAGTGGATTTAGGCAACTGAAAAATGGATACGGAGTTTGAGATTTGCTAAAGATTACATTAAAAATACTATTAATTCAATAACACTTTTAAAAGATTCACTTTAAATGAGTGTTAATTGACGGCTAATGTAATCTAACAGTAAAAATTATGTATATATTAAAAAAAACATCAACTCCTCTCCGATGTTGCTGAGAAAATGAGAAGCCCCAAGAAATGCACTCCCCAAACTGACATGGAATTAAGGCACATAAACAATGTACCTAAAGATTCCGACCCTTAATTACTCCAAACCATACATTGAGAAAGGGAGAGAGATTTTTAAAAAAAAGAGAGAAATAAAGTTAAAAAAAAAAAACAGACAAAGGTCTCTTTGACAGCCGACAAATCTGCAGGATGCCTGCGCCACAGCAGTCCTGCCAGCAAAGCACCACTTCTTCAATATGTACACACGGCTAACTACACTTTTAATCATCTCGCACACCACCACAGAGTGAATTCAGAACGACGACTCAAAGGGAAGTGCCTGAATGAGAAATTTGAGTGAAAAAGCAAATATTCAGTCTGACGATGAGAAGTATCAGTCCAATTAGAGAAAGTGAGGACACTTCCTCACAGATCTCATCTTCATTTGCCATGCCTGTGCCTCATTATTAAAAGCCCTTGTGTCTTCTGTATTCTCGTAGTGCTTTTTCATCTCTCTGCTTAAAGCGCACGCACACATGATGATTAGTTAGCGAAATAGTCCAGTTCAGAGCTAAATTAAACCCCATTACTGGCGGAGAAAGGATTGATGAAGGTTTTGCCTTTGCAGCAAATTTGCATTTTCGGCACACGCAAACTCATGCACTCTTTGAAGCCTGAAATGTGCTCTACGCTAGAGCATGAACACAGATGCATTTCATACATTGTTGTATTCAGAAATTACAGATTTATAAAACAATATAATTACATGTTGCATTCTCAGCATTGCCACATGGGGCACTAATGGTTATTTTTCTTCAGGTCAACAAATGTCATGGCATGACAGCCATAGATGCCATGTTGAATCGTAGATCAAAGGGCAATCATGACCTAATGGTTAGAGAGTCAGACTTGTAACCCAAAGTTTGCGGGTTCGAGTCTCAGTACTGGCAGGAATTGTAGATGGGGGGAGTGAATGTACAGCACTCTCTTCCACCTTCAATACCCACTGATCTGCCCTTGAGCAAGGCACCAAACCACCAATTGCTCCCTGAGCACCACAGCAAATGGCTGCCTACTGCTCCGGGTGCGTGTTCGCTACCCACTGCTGTGTGTGTGCACTTGGATGGGTTAATGGAGTTTTTGTCTACTGAAAGTTTTTCAGAAAGACAGTGTTCAACAGAAGACAATGGCATATAATGGTTAGCATGTTTATAGCTAGCTACCTGAATAATAGAACAATTTAATGTGCACTTGTGCTCCTAGCCATACACTAAGGTGGCAAACCGTAACGCTATAAAACAAGGCCATGCTCACGTTATTCCACATGGTGGAAACTAAAACAGCCCTGTCGATACAAGTATACAGCAAACATTTCTGATGAAAAACTCTGTCAGACACACACCGACATTAAAGCGCAATTGAGAACCAAACCACCCACCACAAACACATGCGCTTAAATACACATGCGCTCGATGGGGGAATGCCGGGCCACACACATTCAGATGTATCCAGCAAAGCAGACCTAAACCACAAACCCCAGACTGCATCATAAAGATGCCTAGAATCCACTAAAAAGTCCACTCTGTCTGGGCACAAAGAAGATATCATGGGTGTCAGTGCAATGCTATTTGTGTGTGGGTTGGCTTTCTTTATGTCTGTGCCATTGAAAACCCAGAGGACACATTAGCAAGGTAGGTGAGCTGGTGTGTGCGAGCTTGTGTGTTCGGAAAAGGGCTGGGCAAAGCAAGAACTACTGTAATGAGAACCTCCGGTCTAAAGCTCTCCTGTCTGCTGATTAGAGGCCTTCTGCACAAAAAAACACCCAAACCAAAACACACGATCACGAACACGCAGAGACATACGCAAAACATGTGCAGTGCTGCAAGCAACACAGCATGGTAACACCGTATGGAGCCGCTTTCTTTGTTATGCAGTTCCTGCCCGGTTCACATTTCCTGCTGGACCTTGCGCTGTAACCTGACCACGGCCTAAGTGTGTTTCTCACATAGACCAGTGCCCACACACAAACACATCTCTCCCCAGCTCATCTTGCCAAATCTCTTTAGCTTTGACTCTTTCCTGTCCTTTAATCCAACACCAATCAGCCTCCAGACACAAATACGAGAACTAAAATTAAAATCTAAGCCACGCCACATATAGCCAAAAGCTGTCTATGCCTGTCTGGTGTGTCCCATGTGTGCCTACCACGTTCTACCTGGAGCGGGACCAGCTCCGTGGCAGGAGAATTCTTTTGGGAAGTGTCGCATCTGAAAAACCATGGGAAGGCCTCTGATAATCTTGTTGTCTGACCTAAAGGAGGTCTGCGATTTCAGACTTCACATTGTGATGCCTCACGAAGTGCCATTCAGGAGCTAATTACAGTGCGATCAAGAAATTTAAGTCAATCTGTAAAATCACTCATTGACTTGAACTCACAGAATGTTTGACATTCAAATTATAATGCTGCCTTTGTTGTGTCGGAATGATGGCACCCGCGCCGCCTTTATACTTTAAAACATGTTTGGAGTGCCCATATTTATTCAATGAATTCATTGCCTTTTGAAGTTTAATTGTCACAATAAGCTATATCATAATTCTTGTCTTTCCATTTTCAAATTAAAAAATTCTTGAAATTATAATTAAGACTTTATAAGGCCTTACATTTGATACAACTTAATTAAAGACCTTTTAAAGACCCACGGGAACCCTGTATTTAAGGGCGGTGATACATTTTGGTAGCCCGACTGGAAGACACAATAGCCCCGGGACGCCAGGCTAGCGATTTTGCGAGCTCTGCATATGTTGAAATGCTGTATTGACAATAACCACCCAACAAAAGAAATGGCTAATGCTGTAATTTGATAACAATTGTGCAGGTGTTTGGTTCTCTGCACCAGGTTCAAGCCAGATTCATTACATATCCGAGCAACAGCTAACTGCAAAAAGCAAGAGCAGATGAGCAATTCTTAAAAACTGATTGGAAGACCAATAGAGGGCCACATGAGAGTGGTATTATCTATTAAATTAATTTAGAAAGGTGCATAAAGTAACGGCTTCACTGTTGGCTTCTGGGAAAGATTTTGAACAAATACGGCCATAACTATCCAGGCAGATATAAGTGTAAAACCAGCAGCCATCAGCAGGGCTGAACTCTGTTTGTACAGAGGATTTTTGAGCTTATTTGACTGAACTCCGAAGGCGGGAACAGAAGAGCCCTAATAATAGGAATGTGGGGACTGGGTGGATTTACCGAAGCTGGCATGGGGAATCAAAGCTATAGCCATGTGAAGGCTTGCCAGTAATCAGGAGGGGTGTATGAGTGTGCAGAAGGGGCATGGACTGCCGTATCGGAGAGGATGCCAGCACCTACCAGAAACCACACGCAGGTCATGCCTGGTCTGGCTACATTCCTCAGCCTCAGAGTACACATCAAAGACAAACCCACAGAATCAAAGGTGCATGTGTGTTATGTGTGAAAGTGGTGGGTCTTTCCCATTCCGAAGCTACAGTAAGGGATTTCTGTTGAATACTAACAAAATTCTATGCCCTACTTGTTAGAAATTCCAGCTGGTGTTAAATATGGGGCGTCCAATCCTGCTTATAAAAGGCCACCTTTTTGCACATTTAGCAATAACTTCCCTGGAAGTTTCTAATAATCCAGAAGACCTTGATTAGCTGGTTCAGGTGCATTTATCAACAGTTAGGTCTAAACTCTGCAAGAAAATGGCCTTCCAGGAGCAGAATTGGACACCTCTGGTGTAGAAGGTTGATCAGATGGACGGCCAGCTGTTGGGGCTGAAGTCAGTCATCTTGGTCAAGCTGGTTAGAGCTTGTACACATCTTTGGGCAAGCATAAAACTAGCTACCACAAAAAAGCAATTTGGCAACCCTAACCACTTACATTTTAACCTTTTTTATAGCCCTCTTCCAACAATTGCATTGCATGGGTTGACTAAATTACAGGCTCGATAAAATTCAGATCAGTCATCTTATAGAGAGGGTTATACCTGTGATACTGTGTCTGTAGGAACTGGAACTCCTCCTTTATGCGGTCCAGGGTCTCGGAGTAAGTGAGTTTTAGAGGTTGGGTCGACCCCGATGCTGCAGCGGCCGCAGCTGCTGCTGCTGCTGCAACTGAAGCAGAGGACCCGGGCGGTGGTTGCAAAGGTGCCTATGTGGGAAAGTAAAGGAGGAGAGTTAGCATTTAAAACTTTTTTTTAAACTGGATGAAAAGCTGCTTTTAAAAAGAAGATAAACTTAAAAGCAAATTTCTGGCTACTGCATATGGCTATCGGGCCTAATGCATGGACCTGGAGCTGTTAATTATTTCAACACTTATAATGAAACTCAGCTTAAAACAGTAAATTATGCATTCTTCAAAAAATCAGACGATTCATTCAGTGCGAACATGATTTGAGGAACTCATTGCACAGAGGTCTGCGAGCAAGATAGAGAGTTCTGTGCACATGGCAGAAATGAAGGACACTGATGAAAGACAAGCTCCCCAGAACCAGAGAGAAAGCAATGAAAGAATGAGAGAGGATGGGGGTTGGGGTAGTTCCATGACATAGGCTCCATTGTAAAGGGATAAAGCATTACAGACTACATTACGTGTCTATATCATAGTGGTTGTGGATGTGCGGAGGATGGGGGATTGGGGTGGGGATCATGCTTACTGCTAAAATTAAGACATTTGTTTAAAATTAAGCATGGATTAGAAGAGGGCGCAAGAAAGAGGACCCCATCAGGGTGGGGACCCCTTCAAGCTAAATGAATTCTGCCAGCTCCAGCAATTAGGAGCTTGGTCTCAGAGTAATGCAGACAGACAGGCAGACAAAAGCCTAAGTGCTGTACAGTAGGGCCTGTCCATCCATCTATCTGTCTTTAAAGGTCCCATGACATGCTGCTTTTTGGATGCTTTTATATAGGCCTAAGTGGTCCCTAGTACTGTATCTGAAGTCTCTTTCCCGAAATTCAGCCTTGGTGCAGAATTTCTCTGCTGACTAAGGTCCTCGAACTCACGACTGCACCTCACAGGGGTTCTTGCACTTCTCACGGGAATCTCTTCTTTTGAGCTAAAAGTGGGGAAAACCGCCAAAAGAGACATGATTGATCAAATGTGAAAGTGCATAAAGCCCCATTACTTCAATTAGCATGGAGCATTTGGTTTTGACGGTAGTTGCATTTACTGCCAAACACTTGAGCGGCTAACCGTTGGCAAAGTGTCACAGGGTGTTATGAGCATGTGTGACATGCATTAACACTATAAAGGCCTTGACCTAGCCAAGAATTACTGAGAAAATGAAAACACAGACCATTGACAGTTTAAGCTTAAAGCTTGTCTTGGAGGGATGAGGACAGATGTAACTGCAAATATTAAAAGGGGGGTGGAGGGTGTCTGTGGGTAAAAGGGGTCACCCTGTGTCGGGGCAGCAGGCTTGGAGTACTTGGGGGGATGTCTATGGGGGGGTTGGACCGATCTACACAGGGAGAATGGAGCCTCTCGGCCTTCGGCTCATGGGAGACATGGCGCATTGTTAGAGACTCTAACAAGCTCCTCTCTCCAGCCCTGCATTTCAATCTGCTGTCCAGAACCCCAGGCTCTCACAGCTCCAGCCTAGCAGGGAGCACACACACACACTACAATTACTCCTCACAGGCCAAAGAAAAGAGTCTGGAGAACAAGAGGAGGAAGGCCATTTGACGGGGGGAGGCGGGAGGAAGGGGGAATGACACTTGGCTCTATTCCCTTTTTCCTCTTTATCTTCTCTCTCTCTACCCCACCCAGCCTCTCACTCTGATATTCACCTCTTTTTATTGAATTTTGCGTACAGGTGCAAAGAGACTTCCGGAAGAAAGAAAAAAGGATTGACAAAGAGAGCAGGCCTTTGCTGAAAGGCTGAGACCAAAGAGCCAGTTGCATGGAGCTTCTTGGAGACTGAATGTTCATTAATTAGACATTCAAGTTTCCGAAACCACAGAGTGTCACCCCCTCTCAGAGGCCATTATTGTGGTTCTTTCTATGTGTCCAGTCTCAATATGACAGCCATTTTAATTCAATGCTCTTATAACCTGCTTCTCAGGCTAAATCGCCTTGTAAATCCTCAGTGCGAGTTTCCTTGATGGTTGTCACAATAAATGGTCCACTTGACCTCGACAATTTCACAACAAGATTTAAACCTGGCATGGACCTGGCATAATTAGCATTGTGGGCCACTCTTGTTGAAAGTCACAGACACAGTAATCTGTATTATTGCAAAACTCTGAACACCCAAATTGATTGAACTGATTAAATCTCTTATGCCATGCAGATGGGTCACACCAAAAAAGCCATCTTGAGGCAGTAATGACTACAATCATGGTTAAATTCTCACACTTTTGGACTTAGTGAAGAATCACAAACAAGTTCTCATATGACCCTTGGTTAGGAACGGTTCAGGATAAAGATGCAGTCTGCTGGAAATTATAGCTTGAGCTGTCTAGATACTATGAAAAGCCCAGTATATAGATTATAGGCATGTCCAATTCCATTTCTTTACCACACTCACAATGCATCTTGGAAAGTGTGAGTGTGCATGCAATGTTTTCATTTATTTTCCTCTAATTACATGCTGTGTTGCATCAAACCATAATGATCTCCCAAATCCCCCTACCCACCCACTTACTAAGACTCTAAATGAAGAAGTAGCTGCTAAGCACTACAAACAATCATACACACAGAGAGAAATACTGCGCCTATATCCACTGAGCTGTCCAAACCACAGTTTCTTTCATTCTGTCAGAGGTCTGGCTGAGGGGCCTACAAGACTCCCACATGGCCTACATCTGAGAATTGCTACACAGCCTGTGAAATGCTGCGGCCGGCCATGATGACCGACATCCCAAAACCTGTTAACACGGTGGCCTAACCTTTGATAAAGCTGTTTCTGTTTTCACACACAAATCACTTGGAAAAAACTGACGACGCGCTTGATGTTTCCATTCCCAGAGAATAGCTACAGAGCCCAATTTGTATTCTCCAAACTTTCTAACTCTTCACTGAGATCATTGTTTAAATTATACCTGTGCTTTAAAAACAGTTGTGCATTCTCTTTAGGTGTCTTTTCATGGGAGCCTCACCGAATGAAGCCTCGGAGAACCAGCAAGGCCGCTAATTATATGTTTTTCCTTAAAAAAAAAAATGAAGCTTTCACATAAACATCCACCCTAGAAAATGGGGTGGAGAAGGACTGAGGCTAAAAATAATTGGAATGGACCTTCTGTATCTCTGAACCATTTGAAGAAAACCTCTTTTTAGGTGTACACACAAATCCAAAGAACCAGGCGATGCTTTCTGCAGCAACGTTTGAAGTTCAGGCATTGTATATGAAATCTTTCGACTACAGTGTCAACAACCGGCAGGCATTTGCATTTTAAAGAACCTCCCCGGGAATCTGACCTAGGCGCAGCCTTGTTTCATTGATTCCGTACTCTACGGCAGCATGGAGCTTTAAGGAATGCCCCAGTAATCCCTTATTTAGACGGGGGAGGGGATGTGGGGTGTAGTATGGTGCCAGGCACCTGTTTCATTAACCTCACACATCTTTTCTCTACCCTCGCCGCAAGCTCGTTATTCAAATTTCCCCGCTGTCAGGATACATTAGCGGCGCTGCGACGTTGGCTTGTCAGCTGTGGTAATTGCTCTAGGTGCTTCCTTTATGAGGTAACCCGCAGCCTGTTTGTTCTTTCGGTTTCAAGGAATTCCATGCTTTCTCCCAATGATTTTGCAAACTGAGGGTGACTTGGCTGAGGGCAAGGGAGATCTACCGCATATATTAATCGACCAAGCAATGCAATAATCGGCCGATTAACCTCAAAATGTACAAACATTGGCTGATTTATCGGCCTAGCTTAAATATCACTAATACTAAAATCCCAAGTAGCTTTTTTTTTTAAGAATTGTCACATGCCTTTTGATAAAAACAACAAACAAAAATAGCATATGAGGAAAACATTTTTAACTTAGAGCATAAAGCAAAGAAAATACAAGTCTAAATGATTAATTAATAAAACTTAAATGTATGAAAGGTGAAAAAAAAGTGTGGCACTCTTGAAACTTGCATTGAAAGTGCATCAGTAGTTAAAACACTAGAAATACGGTGATCTGCCTACACGCTGAAATGGGGTACAACAACAATAACATAAAGGGGCAGTAGTATTATTTAAGCACATTGATTAAATTGATCACAATGGTTACCTCGAATATCCCGGATAGCCTAATTTGAAAGCACATTTTAGTGTGGCTTGATTTGATGTAATCATGCCCTGATGAGTAGCACTACTCGGCCAACTAGTTTCACAATCCATGTGAACGTTTACCCCAACTTATGACACAAAAGGTACAAACACACTTTGTTTTAGCCTATGTATGAAACATACAAAAGCGCATTGCGCACCAAGCAGGCGGTCATTTTGCGGAGTAGTAAGGTAACTTACCGAGGGTCGATTCTGAGGAAACATGGTAAATAACGGGGTTGTTGCGGTTTGAGGGTGTTCCGTTTCGGTGTTGCCTTAAATGTTGTTTCAGAAGAGTTTGCGCCTTTCTGGAGGTCTCAGAAGCACATTTGGCCCTGTTTTGGCGGCGCCAGGCTCGGCTCGCGCATTCCTCGCTCAAGACTCCCTTTGTTCTGCTTTATCGAGCGATATAAGATGCGCCCAGTCCGGTATCGAGTCCCTCAGTACGACGCACCTCGAAATATCAGAATGCACGCGCTCGGCCTTCAGAGCTCCACCGCCCTTGATGTGCTTTACTGATGGAAATAATAAAGAAACCAAGTGGATGGCCAGCTATCGTGCTCCCAAGACTACTTGACTACTACTCAACGCAGCCGCAGCTTCAGCTTCTTTTGTCTGCTTCTCTCTCTCTCCTCATCCGCTCCTTCCTTTCGGATCCTCAGCTGTTTTTCAATGGGACATGCGAGTTGTTTTCTTCAAGAGATGGAAATAATAAAGAAACCAAGTGGATGGCCAGCTATCGTGCTCCCAAGACTACTTGACTACTACTCAACGCAGCCGCAGCTTCTTTTGTCTGCTTCTCTCTCTCTCCTCATCCGCTCCTTCCTTTCGGATCCTCAGCTGTTTTTCAATGGGACATGCGAGTTGTTTTCTTCAAGAGAAACGCATGCCCCCCTGTGCAAAAAGAGAAGGGGTTTGGCTTGTGGTAACCAGAAGCAAAGAGTTAAATTCTCAAATTACACTCATTTCAGGCTGCGGTGGGAGCAGGAACGCATGGATTGATCTGTTCAGTACTGTATTTGTTTATGTATGTGGGTCAGTGACAAAATAAGGATGCGTTGAGATAATTAAAAGGAGAAATCGTTTATAAATGAGTTCGTGGCAAGTTATTAAAAATGTGGTCTCTGTGTTGGTTTCATACATTTTTGAAAAACATTTATATTATTTTCTACAAACATTATGATGTAATGACTCCAAAAATGTTGCCTCGGTTGTGCAACTATCAGGGAAAAGCACTACAATACATGGAGTGTACACAGCCTAATCACGTTTTGAAGGAAATAATATTGAAATTACGATGTTTTGTGGCTAACCCTTTTAAAAATGAACAAACCTGTTTGTTTTCATATTAAAGTCTATACTAAAGTATTCACACGTTCTCTTCACATTGTCTAATTTTATAAACAGGACTTCGATTGAAAAATAAGGGTGCAGATATAACTGTACAATGATTGAATGAAATCTCCACGTGGGGTTTGACCCAGCCACAATCAACACTGTCTGCTTTAGCCAATCAGCGCCGAGAGCGCCCCACGTGGGGAGTGCTGACCGCTCGCTGATTGGTGCGCGTCACAATTATAGAATCCCAAACGTCAGTCAGGCGCTCAGAGCGACCAAGAAAACCATTTAACTCTTTCGGTGCGCGCGGTGGAGACATTTGAATTCAAATTCCTTTTGTGATGTAAAGTAGTTTTTTTCTCTCTCTCTTCTCTCTTTTTATTACTTTAAATAGCTTTGCATTGTTTCAGGGCGCCCACAATGAAATCCCACGGCTAGTGGTTTAAAACTAGGGCCTATTTCCTATGTAAATCACTTTTTGTTTTGGCCACCAGTCTCTCCATCTGTTTATGAAATATCTTGATTTTGAAGATTCCTGAGATAGTCAGTCCGGCATTAATTTTTTATCTTTGATCTCAAAGACACATGAAACACGGCTTCGCTATAAAGATAACATGCTCCAGGGGCCAATAGGAACCAGTGTGTGACCTAAATCAAATCTCTTGTGTGTGTGTGTGTGTGTGTGTGTGTGTGTGTTGCTCTGGGTCAGGGAATACAGCTTAATAAGCTTACAAAGGCATTATCGCTAAGGAATAATTCAAATTCCTTTTGTGATGTAAAGTAGTTTTCTCTCTCTCTTCTCTCTTTTTATTACTTTAAATCGCTTTGCATTGTTTCAGGGCGCCCACAATTAAATCCCACGGCTAGTGGTTTAAAACTAGGGCCTATTTCCTATGTAAATCACTTTTTGTTTTGGCCACCAGTCTCTCCATCTGTTTATGAAATATCTTGATTTTGAAGATTCCTGAGATAGTCAGTCCGGCATTAATTTTTTATCTTTGATCTCAAAGACACATGAAACACGGCTTCGCTATAAAGATAACATGCTCCAGGGGCCAATAGGAACCAGTGTGTGACCTAAATCAAATCTCTTGTGTGTGTGTGTGTGTGTGTGTGTGTGTGTGTTGCTCTGGGTCAGGGAATACAGCTTAATAAGCTTACAAAGGCATTATCGCTAAGGAATATCTTGGATAAATTGTTCAAATTTGCTTTTTTGACAAAACAATATGAACGGCAGTGATTCTCAAGCACTGCCGTGACATAAATAATATAATACGTAAACTCTCTTTCGGTGTAAAGAAATGCAAAAACTCAGGAGACATTTAGTATTCCAGTGGCGTGACCCTTTTAGCTGGGCTCATAATTAGAGAGGCAGATATTGAAAAAGCAATTTTCCCACTGTAGAAATCACTACCTGGCAGCAGTGTGGCTGAAAAACAGAAAGAAGGGATGCGGAGGAGGAGAGAAAATAGAGGGAAGGAGGAGTGTAGAGGGATCTGCTAAAAAGAGAGATACAGATTTAGAGGATGTATGGGGACTGGAGGGGGGGTTCATTATTGCCATTTTTCCCATGAATTTTAATGCACAGAGCAGGTCTCCTGGCCACTGCGGTCCATGTATTGGAAACAGTCATAAACGAGCTACATATTAGAATCATGGTGCAGGACGTCTGATATATGTTGTTTGGTGTGTGTGTGTGTGTGTGTGTGTGTTTTCAGAGAGCAAGTTCAGAGCATTTTAAAGCTCAGAATTCACAGAAGTTTAACAAGCAATGGTCAATATCTCTATTTTTCAGATCAGACAAGAGAAGCTTTCCAATGGAGCCAAGAAAACGGAACAAAAGACATTTTTATCCCATACAATGATTGACATTATTTATTCCACAGTTGTCCCTCGCAAGTAACAAACTTGATCAATGGTCTTCCCCTGTAATTCACTTTCACATGCAGCCCACACAATATTGCAACAACATCGATATGAGCATTTTGAAAGCTGAACATGAAAAAAGACCAACATGTTTCTTGCTTCGTTACTAGGAAAATGTGCTTTTAGCGTTCAGAGCTGGCAGTAGGGAGAATATTTAAAGAGTTTATTACAAAAAAATCCATCATCAGTCTACAATAAACAAGGAAAAATCTTTTTTTAAAAATCAACTTTAAAACACATGCCAAGTTCTTAAAAATGTGCTCTGTTGGATTTGTATGCTTTTTGTTTCAATTTAATGGCTCTAAAAACGTCATGTGGTGTAACCATCAATTAAAAATTATCTTCCTTTTTTCATATATGTGCAAATATCTTATCTATCTTATTTTAAATAAATATCTTTACTCATTACTTATATTTTTACACACACACACATATATATATATATATACATACATATACTGTATATGGGTATTGTATATTCACTATGCCACTGGTACAATGTTTTTGGTATCAAATAACACACTTTTATATCAACTAACAGTGGCAATGTAAAAATATAAGTAATGAGTAAAAAATATGAATAGATAGATAGATAGATAGATAGATAGATATTATAATCTTCAAAGTCTTCTGAAGCCATGCAATGAACACACCAAATGCAAGTCATTATTTGCTGAAAATCCCCTCCGCTGTATCTCTCAAAACCTCATTTGCATTTCCGCACATTGAAATTCAGCACAAATTAATGAGATTTGTGAATTTTTTTCACTTACATATTCCTTTAACACAAACACATAACTTTTGGTTTTCCATTCTCTAACAACATACAGTTTCCATGGTGGATATAGAGTTTCACGCACTCGATTGCAAACATACCTGCACACATATATCAAACTGACAGCGGCGTCTTCACATTCTCCAATTACAGACCTATATTTAGAGAAGAAATGTTCACTTATTCAGTGGTGAAGAGATCATTTGTTTGCATTTGTGTTGGTACTTTGCTCTTGGTGTGACACTTGTAGTAGCCTAGCCTCCTTGACTATCTGCTTAAGTAATTGTCGCAATGCACTTAACAGATGTGACCTTGCTAAGGAAACACTTAATATCAGTGATGCAAACTCCACTTTTGGATGAACTCGACATCCAAAAGACTAAAGAAAGACAAGGAGACGTAAGTAATCAGCCTGCCAGAACTGAGCATGAGAAACTAATGGATATGGTAATGAGGGTCTGCGGGAGGCGTGTGAGTATGTTGCCTGGCCAGTATGGAGGTGACTGACAGCCAGACAAGGCTATGCTGTTGTTGTGATCCCATCTACACACACACATACACACAAACACACACCCCTCACAGACAAGCCCCATGTCAGCACGGAGACGGCGGGCTGATTTATTGGATTCTCCTCCCCTGGGAACCCCCCTCCTATCCTCCAACTCTCCCCCCATCCATCCCTCCTCCTCTTTCCTGCTTTCCCCAGGGGGCAGAGAAGGGGTAATGACCCACATCAGCATCCAAACACACACACACACACACACACACACACTGTCGTTGAAGCACATTTGCACCCTTCACAGGAGAGCGAACCTCAAAACACAGGAACCAGAAATTCCTCCGCACTAATTATTCAAAGTATAATTAAAATGATTCATACTGACAAAAATGATGCTTCAACCTGGAACCAAGACAATGTATTTGCATATCTAGAGATATGTCTCTATAATCATAGATGTGTATCAATTATTCTCTTGGCTGCCTGTCAGTTCTTTCTTTATTTGAACAAATTCATATCCAGTGTTATATTGACAATAGAAAATACAAAATGGATTTTATGATTATTATTATTATTATTATTATTATTATTGTATTTCTGACATTTTAATGAGCCAACCGTGTGATGACATTTTCCTAAAACTGTCTTAATGACATATTGCAAGTAAAAGTGATTTAGCAAGATGCTATGCTAAAATATGAAGCTTTTTTATTTATTTGTATTGATTTAAAAAAGGCCTAATTTGTGTTGTCATTGTCGTAAATTGTCAATGTCCTAATTTGCTTCTAATAAAGACTGCAATCGCTGTAATAATAATAATAATAATAATAATAACACACGCCATATGTGTTATGAGCTCCGGCTGCCCCCTTCAGTTCAATCGCGGTATTGCAAAAGTGAGGGTGTCAGATTAGATTACTATTCAAATTCATGGGAGTGTGGTAAACATGTTGACCGTGGGCGTAATTGCAATCTTCACATGTTGCTTTCTATTTTTCACATAGATTTTCGATTTTCACGGTTGGTACGTCTTCGTCTTCATCTTGAGCTACCAAGTGTATTAACTTTAGCTTAGCTCGTGTATCTCGCGGTGTTTTGTTGTTGTTTTGCGCGATAAATTAATTATAGTTTAATCACTTTAATAGTAAAA